AAATATTTTCCCTGAAATAAATGTTTCTGGTGTTACATGACTAAGTTTCTGGGGCTGAAATTTTTAGGGTAAACTACCAATAGGTCCTAATAGTTAGACTTAATTTCCATCAAGTCTTATTGAAAATAATTCTTGGCAAAATTGTCACTAAAAATAAATTTTTTGTGACAATTTTTTATATATGTCGCTAAAAATTGACAATCAGTGGCTTTTTTTTGTCACGATTTTTATAAATTGTTACTAAAACTTACAATTAGTGACTTTTTTTGTCACGACCCGCTCCCCATATCTAAGAGTTAAGTATCGTGATGGCCAGTAATGAATGCATGAAAAATCTTTTTGGCATACAGACTGTCACAGCTCATTGGACATTGTTTAATTACTGTATTGGCTTCCGCCAGGCCCTGTACTCTGTTTTACTGTATTACTGTTAAGCAGGCCTTCGGTAATCTCGGATTACTGGCCGGTTACGGTGCTAAACCCATAGGGCCGGGTTTGGGTCGTGACAGTACAACACAAATATGGGGTTTAGGGCTAAAAAAAGTGGCCCCGGGGTGGTCAACATTAGCTTTTTAGTGAGGAAAACGAGCGACGAAGAGCGATGAAGAAATAAAGCTGGCTTTTCAGAACAATTGCTGGCCTCCCACCCTCCTACAAGCTTCCTAACAATGGAAATAAGGCCTCCACCAAAAATGAACCAAAACGGATGCAAAACGGAGGTTTGGGGACCAAAACGCGCGGCCCGGGGCCCCGAAAATGGGCTGTTAAGCACCGGAGGTGGCATTCGACCACGAAGTTGGTCTCTCGGGCCACAGTGTTCCTCAAGAGGGAGGAAATAAGGTATATACCAAAAACCGGAGCAAATGGAGGCGGTTAGGCGGTCCCGAACTGAGTCACACGGTCGTCGGCTCCGAAAAATAGGAAACCGGGCTCCAAACGGGAAAAATGGCCTACGACCATGAAACGTAGCCTACGGCCACTGAGAGATGATCTACGAGACCTCTCCCTCCCTTTGGAAAGAGAAAACAGAGAAAACAAAGCCTGGTTCGCAAATCGAGACAAGGCACGAAAGAGTCCGGAAGTCCGGAGGCAAGGCTTGCAGCCGGGACTCTGAAACTTCTGAACGAGCACAATATGCAATATCACCGAGCGCTCAATCAGTGACGTCTAAGTCTTAAGGTCGGTCAAAAATGGGGTGTCTACACAAGTATATGTAAAAATTACTAGAGTGTTAGTTATATTTGCATGTGGAGTTCACCCTTCATATGTTGCTTTACTATTGGTTGGTGATACAATATGTTAATAATGACGTGATATCACTATTATATGAAATTTTTACTCAAATTTAGTAAAAAATTGTTTATCTTACCATTATATAATTTATTTTACGACTTAAATATATAATTTTTTACATTGTCCATGATACACTAGTTACACATAATACTTTCTTTTTTATTTTACTCAAAGTTAATTGTAAGATTTTATATGAAATACTTTTGTAATAATTTATTCAAATTTTGTATTTAATATTAATTCAAAAATTATTATTATCTTTTTATTGTTGGTTATAGAAAAAAAATTAAAATTGTAATTAATAAGTGTTCATTCTAATTTAGTTTATTGACTCCGTCAGGAATTACAAATCTTATTGAGATTTTAGACTTCTAATACGTTATTCATCAATTCATAAGTAATATTGTTCGATATTAACTGCTATAATATTTACTAAATTAATTGATACAAAGTCTGATACTATTACTTAAAACCATGGCAAACGGTCTATATAGGTGACCGAATTGGAAAACAACATGTCTTGCTAATCAATGTTAACCAGGTCTGAATTAATTAATTAAGCTAGCAAAGAATCTCTCTTTGGGTAAATCACTGTTTGTTATCATGCGTACGCATTCAGTTCACACTTGCTCTCTCTGAGTCTGACTGGCTCAACACCGTGAGAAAGCAGGCCTAATCACCAAACTACTGTACTCGGTCCACGTCTTCTCTGCGTATTTCTCATGTTTTCTTTATCCACTTTCTATTTATTTACTTTAAAATGCAAAGTGCATAGGATGGATGTGTACAATGAATGTCGAACCTTAACTTGTAAAAACAAAAACAAAAAAACAAAAAAATATTTAATGAGGACCAACAATACAAATGTATATTTATGCTGTGTTTGGTCAAAGGGATTTGGAGAGAGACTTGAAAAGGAAAAAGGAAAAAAGTGTGTGAAACTAGGTAAAATATAAACATATTTTATTCACATTTCACCTACCTTTTTCATTTTTCTTTCCAAATGTCTCCCCAAATCCCCAAACTAAACACAGCATTAGGGGGTGTTTGAGCAGGGAAACACTATGGTATACATTTTTTAAATAGTGTGTATTATATGTACTTTATAATTAAAGAAGAAAATGGAATAATTCATATTTTTTAAGTTATAAAAAAAATTGTCATAACTAAACACACATGAATCATAACTAAAATAATATTATAATTAAAAAAAAATTAATCATAACTAAAAAAAAAATGACATAACTAAAAATACATATGATGCATATTTTTCAACGAAGTGTATATTAGAATTTTCCGAGAGCTTCAAGTTTTAGCAACCCAAAAAAAATTAAATCAAAAGGTACTTCTTTTTTTTAACTTTTTACACGTCTTTTATTATTAAAAATATCAATTTTGAAATCAATTTTTAAATAGTGTTTGGTAGTGGAATGTAATAATTATTCTATCAAAATATTCATTTTCATATCTGGTTATACTAAAAATATAATAACAAATGTATTACAATTGGAACCATCTTTCATCATTTTAAAGGAATAGTCATTCTATAAGAAATCTTACGAAATCAGAAATGGGGTGGCTGTTGTATGAGGGGCATAACAGCCATTGTTGTGCAGCTATATGACCCGTTTTGGGGCCTTTTTTGATGATCTAAACTATTCACATTTTAAAGTATATCGAGTAAAATATACGTATAAAAAATCAAGTTAATCGAGCATTGTTAACCATTTCATTTAATTACATTTGCATCTACAAAAATAAATGACAATTGTGATTTGAAATATAAAATTGAATACAAATGTAAATAAATAAAAGGATTAAAGATATTTGATCAATTTGATTTTTTTTAAGTATATTGTACTCGATGTACTTTAAAACTTGAATGATTCAGATTATCGAAACGAGTCTCAAAATGAGCCTATATAATTGCACAACAGTGACTGTTTTGCCCCCGCACAACAGCCACCCCATCTCTTAAGGAATAACTATTTCATTCTATTTTTTCTCATTCTAATAAATCAAATAAAGTAAAGCATTATTATTTAAGTCTAAAAATTAAACCCACTTTTCAAGTTCAATGATATGACAATTAATTAAAATATTTAAGGCAATACTCTTTTTCTATCTTTTTAATTATCAACTAATTATATTATTCCTTCATTATTAAATTTAGAAAATAAATATAAAAAAAATGAATTTTTATATCATTTTCTAATAAAGTATTATGGAATGAAAAAAGAGGAATCATTCAGCAGCACAACAGATGATGAGTAGAATAGATGGGAGTTAAAAACATCACCACTAATAGCACTAATGCATTAAAAAAGTAAAAAAAAATAAAAAAAAATACAACTCCAAGACCAAAACATCACATCATTAATGACGGGACCCACTGCCACCTAATTAGTGGGAGCACTAATTAGTGCTCCCAAGCATTTTTCGTTAATTAATAGCCTCACCAAAGGGAGGCTTGATCCCCAACCTCTCATAGGAGGTAATGCCACTTGGACTTAAAAAGTGTTTGGCAAAAAAATAAAAAATTATTACAAATGTAGAAATATATAATAAATTAGTGAAAGTGTAGTTAGCATCTTTGACATTAAACTTGACAATAATTTCTTCTTTTTTTTTTTTTGATTGGATGTTCGAACAGTTTACATGTATCTTGACTAATCTCAATGTTCACGTAAAACATCTTTTCATGTAAATCGGACAAATTTTAAATAAAATACACTAATGTAATCCCAATAAATGAATTACTCCTAATAAAAATTAAATCTGAGAGTTAAAAAAATATACTCCTAAATACCCATTAAGCCAACCCTTTCAGTCATGTTGACTGTAGCTTCATTCGGATCTGCGAAAATGTGTTGTCTCCTTGTCAAGTTGTTATCTCTCTATATCTGTCCTCCACGTGGCGCCTGAACCGCCTCTCACGATTCTACTTCTTCTAGTTTACTCCCTCTCTCTCTCTCTCATTTAACTCTAATAATAATAATTTGTAAAGCATAGACTAAACTAAATTAATTATATGTTAGTAATTAATCTGATATATTATGATTAATTACACTAATGGTCTCCAAATATATATTATGTTACATTTAAGTCCCCAATCTTTTTTTATTATTCCACTTTAATTTTAAAAGTAATACCATATGTTACACTTCAATTCTTGAAACTAGCACGTTTAAAATTAATAATAAGAGAAGAAATAATTTTGAAATTATATATATGAATTCTCAATGAAATCAAAATAATCAAATACACACACAGTCTCAAATTATATATTTTGTAGTATTTTAGTTTCTAAAATATGTGTTTTGGTTCTTTTTTGTCTCTAAAATATGCACATTGTTGTATTTTCATTCATAACTTTTACAGTTTTATTGCATGTTTTGTTTTATTTATTTATTTATTTTGTGTGTAAAATTCTAATTTTAAATGACGTTCACGTTAGTGACTAAAGTGTACAAAATGATATATTTTAAAGAATAAAATGAAATAATTAAAAAATTAAGAACCAAAGAGTAATAAAATACATATAGTAGGGACTATTTGTGTAAATAATCCACTATATTAACTAGTAAACCACAACTCTTTCTCTCTAGCCCATCCAATATCATCTCCTACATATATCAATCTTGAACAATCTTAGACTTTAGAAATCAAAGCAAAACAAAAACAAAAAAATGCCAAACAACTCAATAATGAGTTCTCCATGTTCAAGCTCAAGATGGTGGCCAGGAGATCAAGACATATCAATGACAGAAACATACTCTCCAAGAGCATCCTCAGTTGGTGGCTATTCAGCTGCAACTGATGATACTAATAGTGTCATAACTTTACCAGTACTTCAAGCTCCGGCGACAACAATGCCGGCTAGACTGTTAGCCGGCAGGTCAACGCCTGAAGTCATGAGGAAGATAGAGAGTGCGTCGCCAGAGACGGCGAGGCACGTGGCGATGAGGATGTATGAGAGCTTGAAGAGGCATGGGTTGAGAGATGAAGCTGGGAGGGCATTTAGGAGAGAAAGAGATGATGGAGATATTGAGCTTGAAGAGGTGAAGGAAGGTGGTGACGTGAGGAAGAAGAGTGAGGATCTTTTAGGGATGGAGTACTTGTTGAAAGACGGTTTTGTCAGTTATCTTCGAGATGTTGCTAAAATCACTCCTCCCATTCCTCAACAGGTAAGAGAGTACATATATCAGTTGATATTTAATAACGATCAATATATATAAGTGTTATTTTTTTTTTTTTTTGAACGGCAATATATATAAGTGTTATTGATACTACTGATATATAGTGTTATTTAAAATCATAATATATATTGTTGAGATAATTGTAAATAATATGTACAAATGTGTTAAAGGCTTTTATACAATCAAAATGTAAGAACTTTCCTCTATTTTTTTTTTTTTTTATGACTGAGTATCCAGGCCAGCACCCGAGGGCCCTGAGCCGATCGACCAGGCAAAGACGCAGTGGCCTGCTAGGAGCACAGCTGGGGGTGGGATTCGAACCTGAGACCTAGAGAGGAGCAAACTCCTAGGTCCTAAGTCCCTTGGTCTCAACCAACTGGGCTACCCTTTCCTCTATATAATCATATGTAATAACAATTTTACAAAACTAAAAAAAGTGATCAAAGATGAAGCATGTAGATAAATTCATTATGAGTTATTACAAAAAATTTAAATCTACACCGAGGTTGTCAATGTTAACACTTTGAAACCTATTTTCTATTTTCGCTTTAACTTTTAGAATTTGAAAACTAAAACTTGTTTGATATGTAATATATTAATTCATTTTCATATAAGTGAAATCGAGTTCAAATCTTACAAAATTTTTGAAAACAAAATATGTGGTTTCCTTTGTTTTCAAAAGAATTTTCACTCTTTCTCTCTTCCCACCTTTGGCCACCCCCATTGTCGACTGGTCGACCTTTCAGCCACCAAATCCGTCCCTTTGTTCTTTTCTTTTTTTATTTTATTTTATTTTATAAAGTTTTTAATTATTATTTTTATTTATAAATAGAAAATAAGAAATTGATAACATTATCAAACGGCTTTTCTTGCCACTTTTTGAGCTATTTTTTCTGTCTCTGTACATTTTTCGAGCTAGTTTGTTGAATTAAGCAGCTCATGGTTAGTCAACAATTTCTAGGATCTATATATTGAATAGTTAGGGCATGACCTAATGTGCCGACCCACAAAAATACAACAGCTATGTTTGTTTGGAAGCATGACTTTGAAATCTAATTAATGATCTAATAAAATATAGAATTTTACATTTGATTAAGAAAATTAGAATATAAACTAATATTGTATTTCAAATCCAAGAATTGTAGTAGTATCTTTGTATAGCTAAAAGGAGAATACTTAGCCTAATTTCAAATAACTATAGGCATTTCAAATGCATCATGACAAAATTCTTGAACATAATCTTGAAATACTTAAGGTAAATTATCAAATCTAACGGTAAGCTACTTTCTTGGTATTTCCTCTTGAATGATTGATGCCAAATTCTTGCACTTCAAATCAATAAATACAAACGGAACCTAATAATCCATTTGAACATGGTATACTATTGAATTCCAAGAGGGGTGCGATAAAATTAGGAAATAAATTAAATTATAAAATTGATAAGATTTTATCAATCCTTCCTCGTAATCCTAAGCTAATTAGAACATAGGATGGAATATTCACAGAGATTGATAATCTTAAAACTAAGGTTGAAGTATTAATAAATCTCAAAATGTGATATTGTGAATTGTTTAGTCCTTCATTTTTTCTTATAAATTCAAAAGTCTCGTTAAAATGAAAATTACATAAAATGGTAATCACTTACATGTTTGGATTTAATTTTTTTATGAATAAAATTGGATTTTTCAAAATGTAAAATTACACATTTGGGTATCCTCATTATGAGATTTTCCCTCATTTTGGAATAAATCTCACATTATGAATAAAAACGTAACACTCCAATAATGTAACAGTCTAATACAACACACTAAAAAATTATTGGTATATTTTTTCCAAACGTAACAACATAAAAAAAAAAAAAAACCTCTTTATTGTATTTTTTCAAACGTAACACTTTAATGTAACAAAAAAATATATTTCTTAGTGTACTTTTCCCAAACATAATACTCCAATCAATGTAATTCCAAATGTAACATTCTAATGTAACATATTCCAATATAACACACACAAAAATACTAAAAAACTATTTACTATTTTTTTTCCAAATGTAACACTCACAGTTTGAAATTATATATTTGCTCAAAACTTGTTAAGGAATTTTCATACTCTTTTTTGAAATGTTTGAGGAATCTCACATCCTTTTGGAATGGTTTGAAGAATCCCACATCATTTTTTTTTTTTGGAGTGTTAAATTGGAAATTATATATTTATCCAAAATTTACTAAGAAATTTTTGTACCCCTTTTGGAATGGTTTGAAAAATCGCACATTCTTTTGGAATGGTTTGAAAAATCGCACATTTTTTTTTGTGTTACATTACAGTATTACACTAAGGAGTTTTTTTTAGTGTTATATTGGAATGTTATGTTTGGAAAAAGTATACTAAGGAATTTTTTTGTATGTTAAGTATTACACTAACGAGTTTTTTTTAGTATTATATTGAAGTGTTACGTTTGAAAAAAGTACACTAATGATTTTTTTTGGAGTGTTACGTTTGAATGTTACATTGAAATGTTATAGTTTGAAATTATACATTGAGTAATGATTCATCCCCCCTTTTCCCCCCACCCCCTTTGACCCCCTCTCTCTCTCATTGGTTACCTTTTCTTTTTCTTTTTCTTTTTTTTCTTGCTCCTCCAATCACCCCCTGCCACGTGGCAAAGGGGGGGTGAGGGGGTGACCCCCAAAAGGGGGTCCCAAGCATTATTCTTATACATTTGTCCAAAGCTTACTAAGAAATTTTTGTATTCCTTTTGAAATGTTTGAAGAATCTCACATTTTTTTGAAATGTTTGCAGAATCCCATATTTCAAGTAATTTTTGTACTCCTTTTGAAATATTTTCCAAATAAAAAGGTTTCTCATATAAAAATTCATCTCAAATTTGATTCTCATACATTGTGTACCTTACATTTCTAGCGCAAATAAAAAAATAAGAAAGAAACATAATTGAAATAAAGGTATAACCGTAAATCTAATTTCTAAATAATATATTAAATATATATTTTCAAAATCAATTGTACTAATTAGTCTATAAAAAAAATCCTTAGAACTAGATGGATTATTACTATTCCTCAAAATAAGATTTATAGATAAATTTTCTTAAAACTAAAGTCTCATAAATACTAATCTCATCTAATCCAATCCATCCACACGCATACAATACCCTGACCTAAAATGCCGACCCATAAATTTATTTTATGCCTCTATTATGTCATGTAATCAACAAATCAATGTAAAGCGAACATGAAATAAAAAGATGAAGAAAAATGAAACAGATGATCTGAACTCCGTATATGACATAAACATGAAGTCATTTTCACACAGACGTGACATTACAGATTATTTAGGAATCTTTAGTTGCTGCCTGGCCAGAGCTTCTCTTTTTGTCTGCTTCTGTTATAGTGATGGCTGTTTCTTATGCTTAGTTTTTATATTTTTTATTTTATTTTGGTCTCTCAATCTTCTAGAAATGCTTTTTTTTTTTTTTTTTTTTAATATTTCAATTTCATATACTGATTATCTAAATCAAAGACTAGGCCTTTTATAGGCAGAGAGTTAAAAGTCACTTTTTGGCTTTTAATCTATTTTGAATTGTATCACTTCTTTATTTTTTTTACCCATATTTTTAAAGAAAAAATTAAAAAATTAATTTTTAACTAACTTCTCAAAATAACTCTCAATTATATATTGAAGTTGACTATTGCCTCATGTCCTTCTCAACTCAAGCAATTCGACTGCATGTGCATACAAAACTTAATAAGTCTATGTTCTCACTTCAAATTGACAAGATTTGCCCTTTGCAGTCTCCAGAGAAAAAACATACAAGCAAAAACAAAACAAAAATATAATTCAAGGCAATACAATCTCAATGTAACCCAGGACACCCTAAAATACAAGCATAAACTTTGGCATAGTTTGGCATATACAAAATAATCTATCATTTTATCTTTTTATCTTTTTTTCATCACATCACCTCTTTACTTGTCTGAAAACTGCCATGATTGTTCTACAAAAATATTTATTAATTCCAGAATCCAAGTATAATAATAATTATTATTAGTATGTGTTTTCAAGTGAAGTGAAAACATTTACGAAATAACTCACGTTTAATTGGGCTCGGTTAGGCAAGAGATATCTTGGATTATCAAAAAGTCAAGTGAAAAGATTGGAACATTACATTGAGGCCCTGTTTGTTTTTAGAGTTGGAGGATAGGATTGGACTAGTAAGGTAGTGAGATTCAAAAACTCATATTTGTTTTAAAAAGTGGCCATGAAATTAAGAGTTCCACGAGTCTATGAAAATCCTCCAAGGAGAGGATTAACAATCCCATGAGAGAGGTGATATTGATATTTAATCCCATGATATTAGAGGTAAAATACTATGTTGCCCTTCATTTTATAAAAATAAATTTTAATATTAAAATAAAATAGTATACAAATATATTTATACAAAAAAATATATATCAACATAAAATAATAGAGTACAAAATATAATTTTTAATATTAAAATATATCAACACACCAAGGGTATTTATGAAATTTCATATAATTAATCTCATCATAGAATGACAGGACAAACATGAATTCTTGCTAGCCCGGTGGTTCATCAAATAAATACAATCTTTTTTAGTCTTCTCACTACAATCTATACCCTAACAATCTCATTTAACCTACCTCTAAAAACAAACAAGCCCCTTTGTTTGGCCTAGCGTAGCCCAACCTGATTCAATGTGAAGAGCGGGCTTCTACCAAATCTTGGTCCACACCAACCTAAATTCTAAAACTCCGTTTGAGGCCCAAACTGATTCACTGGGAAGAAGGATTCTACCAAATCTCGGACCAGGCCAAGCCAAATTCTAAAACCTCCTTTAAGAACCAGCCCGGTTCCCAACAGTAGGAATTTTCAATTTGTTTCAAAAATTGGGCCGGGCTTCAACCACCTCAGCCAAGGCCCTACCTAGGGAGGTCTAAGCCTAGGCTGGTCTGACCCCAGGTGGGGCTTGGGCCTGGAACATGCCTCAGGCCCTTTTACAACACCAGTCAAGGATTTGAATTCTATGGTCTCATGCAACAATCAAGTTAACTACGAAAGAGTTCTCTACTAAAAACCTTTCAAAGCTTTACATAAAGAAGATCGTATATCCGGTTTGCTGGTGAAGTTTACTGCCGGAATTGCGCTCATTTGAAAATTAGTTATTTTAGTTCACTTTTTAATTTTTTTTTATGAACTTGTAGAAGTAGGTTTTTGACTATTATAGATTGACAATGAATAATGATGTATAAACAGAAAAGATTCTCAGAAATTGAATACTGAATGATGTTTTATTCCTATTATTTTCAAACAAAGAACCCATCAAAATGGTCCTTGAATACAAAATTGTTACCATAATATCATTGTGGGAAAGAATTATGTAAAAAAAATAACAGTTTTCAATAACAATACCAACTTTTCATGCCGTCATAGTTCCAGCAGGAAACTTCACCAGCAAAACCATATACCATCTTCATGTAATGGAAGATACAAAGAGAAGTACATAATTTCCCCGACCTTGTCTCACTAACCTTTAAACAGCTTCGACTAAGGCTGCTGAAATTTTGCAGGTTGTTCGATTTTCAGGCATCAAGTGTTCGAGGAAGTTTGATATACCAAGAGACGAGTATGAAACATTTGGGAACAAAGTATTGGGATGTTTTGTTGGGCCCTTTAAGACTCTTCTCCAAAAAAAGAATTCAACCTGGTTGCATATCTTGAAGGGAGTGGACGGATATATCATGCCTGGATCGATAACTCTTCTGCTAGGACCTCCTGGTAAGGGATACAACTTCCTCCTGATGAAGATACAAAATATATATATATAATCTATTATATCTCAACAACTGAGCAATGAGGACAACAATAAAGATCAGAGGCATCATTAATGTCACTCTAAAGATTCAAAACATTAAAACATAGGATATGCATATGCCCCCTTCATTTGGGGAAAAAGGAATTTGAGTCAGAATATTCTTTCATAACAATGACTGAATGACCAAGAAGCTCTGTTTGGTTGAGTTTTCAGAATGTGTTTTCTGAAAAAATTTCAAAAATATCAACCCAGCAAAAAAATTTATTACTGGAACTTGTGCTTGATTTCACTATTTTTGAAGAGAAATTTAGCTCAAGGGATCCACAAGGTTCAACAATTCATTTGGTGGAATCTAGTCCTTTCAAAAGAAGTGTGGCAGCCATTTGTATTTGTTCACCAACATGATGAGAGATGTAAGATTAACATCTAGTTGTTTATTTATAACCATCACTATTTCTATCACCTCCATCACATTCATTCATGAAACATTTTAATAAATTTTCTTAGAAAATAATTCAGATAATTAGTAATAGAGCAAGAGGAAGTATATTAATCTGCCAAAACCCAAGTCAACATTGCAAAACAAAAAGAGAAATGATTAACAAACAAAACTTTTATAAATAAAGCTAATCTAGAATGATGTGGTAGTGGCATCTTTGCAATTACAAATCAGAATGATATGGGTGTTGTCTTGATATGAGGGAACCACAAAATGCCACATCATTCATTATGAAATTTCTGTTAAAAATAATAATAATAATAGTAGTAGTAGTTCTCATATTCTCAAAACCCGACAGTCTATGATGCTGAAGCAATTCATTCAAATTTGGACACCTTCCCAAAGTAATTCACTAATCAAATCATGTAGGATGTGGAAAGAGCACTCTCTTAGAAATTCTTGCAGGAAGAATAGAAGAAACTAAGAACTCAAAATTGCAAGGTGTGGTGATGTACAATGACAAAGACGCCTCTGAAATACGTCTCAGTAGACTCATTGCTTATATTAGCGGCCAACTAAACAAGTAAGTATCAAATTCAACTCAATTTGAACACAATGATTGCTCAAATCAACTGGATGATTCATAACCATTTCAATAAAACTAAAAATCTTCTACTAACCTTTTTAATTTCCTACAAACTTGCAGACACCTTCCATTTTTATCAGTACGAGAAACGCTGGAGTTCGCAAGGGACTGCACGCAAGGGCTTCGGCCAGAAAACTTCACTCCACAGATGAGAAAATTCTTTGCTCATGCATTGGTGGAAGGACAAGATCCATTTTTGGAGTATGTGCTAGAAATCCTAAGCTTGAAGGATGTAGAACACAAACTCACCGGAGAAGCAATCTCTGACATTGATCGCCAGAAGCTCACAACTGCAGAGTTAGCACTAGGAACATACTCAGTCATGCTTTATGATCAACCGTTTTCAGGGTCTGATCTAGCAGCTACATATGATTTGGTGGACACTATACGGACCATTAGCAGGATTCAGCAATCTTCTGCAATCATGTCACTGACCCAAATCTCACAGGAAGTTTTTGATCTTTTTGATAGGATCATACTTCTCGGTGATGGTCATGTCCTGTTCCAAGGCCCTCGTCAAGATGCAATTCCCTACTTTGCCAACCTTGGGTCAGTAACATAATTACTGATAATAGCATAACGCAAAAATAATTGCTCACAAGTAGAGTTGCAAATGAGCCGAGCTGAGCTTTTGGGTTCTTCGAGCTCGGTTTGATAAGAATTATTTGAGCTCAAGTCAAGCTAAAAAAAATCTAGCTCGAGCTTGGCTCGACAAGAGATTAAGAAACTTGAGCTCAGCTCAAGTCAACTCGATTACATAAATGAGCCGAGCTTGAGCTCAAAAGGAAAAATTAAACTAAAATTAATTTCCATATTAAGAAACAAAATATATTATTCAAAAAATACAAAGGAATGTTTATATTAATAATAAATTTCATCAATCAAATACGTAAATTTAGAGAAACTCCAAACATAAAAAAATAAAAAAAAAAATTATACAAATATATTTAGTATATTATTAAAAATAAATATTAACTCATATTCTTTTTGTTCACAAGCCTTATCAAGTTGAGCTTGGGTCTACTCGAGCTTGTCTCGATTACTAAACGAGCTTAAAATTCAAAATCATGCTCATTCATTTAATAAACGAACTGAGCTCAAAGGAGATTTAAATGAGCCAAACTTGAGGTGTTCATGAACAGTTCGGTTCGTTTGCAACCTGACTCACAAGCACATGCATCCCTTCATAGATATAACACATTCCACAATAATGGAGAACGCACAACATTGATTGAATATGCAGGTACAAGAAGCCATCACATGCAGAGACTGCTGAGTTTCTTGAAGATATTGTTGCCGGACATGGCTTGCAGTATATGGCACCACTAACAACTACTCTCAGTATAGATGAACTTGTAGAATATTACAAGGCTTCAGATCATTATAAAGACATTGCAAGAATTGCTTATGGAGATGATGTGAAGCTCACATATTGGGTAGACAGTGAGCCGGGGCTAGGCCTGTCCCTCAAAACACCATCCAAGTACAACTCTGCAGTTGATGTAGAACCAAGAAAAGAGACAGGTATGAATAGCTTGTTTTTAACATAAACATTCCATTGTGGTCAATCAATCTGAGTTCTTGAAACTAATCTGTGGGTTTTTAACAATTGCTGAGAATTACAACAACTGCATCTGTGAGTTTGCAGAACTGGTGGTTGCTAAGCTATCTACCAAAGTAGGGCATTCTGGGGGGATAGAGAGCACAGGAAGAGTTCAGATTGGAGACGTGGTCACAGCAATATCCATGAACAACGAAGAAATGCAATACCTTGCTGTGGGACTCCAGAAAGTTCAGCGAGAGCAAGCCTCGCATGCATATTCTATGTTGAAGAATGCACGAGGCTACATCCGCCTCCAAGTTGAGCGCTACAAAGATGAGGTACATTAATTTCTCCACATCAACAAAGAAGCAATATGCAGAAAATGGGACAGATATACACTCATTTCAGATGTAAATAACATTGCAAACACTAGTAATTGTGCCAAAAGAAAGGAGGACTTGCCTAATCAATCCCTAAAAAGGTTACTTGTTTTTCTTGTTATTTTAAGGAGGATGAGTATCTAGCTCAATGGGAACAATTCCAGAGGCCCTTTGTTCAGACATGGTGGAAATCTACTAAAACTCTTGTCAACAGGCAAATCAAGATTACCAAAAGGCTCCAAGCTATACTGAAATTAAGGCTATTCCAGGTCAGCACTACCACTTGTCCACTGCTTTCCTTGATTAAGCAAAACACAAGAATCAATGAATCAAACATCCCAATCTAGAGGCTATATAATACAATGTTTTAGAGAGACACATCTACAACATAAGCATGAGCAAAGGGTTCTCCCATAGTCATTAAAGTGTGCCACATCTTTGCAAATAATGAATCGAATCTCAAAATGTTGCAGGCAATTGTACTCGGCCTGTTTGCAGGGACATTGTTCTACAAACTTGGAGGTCAATATACCCAACAGAAAATGAACTCGGTACGTGCCCTAGGGTTTGTATCCACCATGAGCATAATGCTCATAAATCTGGTACAGCTTCCCCTATACATGCTCCAACGGCCAATCTTCTACAAGCACAGGGCACAGAGATTCTTCAGAGCTTCCTCATACGTAGTTTCGCATTGCATTGTCAATCTCCCACAAACTCTGATAGAAGTAATAATCCACTTGATTTTCCCCAGCACAAGTAGCCATAGTTATCACCAAAATCAAACTAAAAGTTTTTTTTTCTTTTGCAGGCACTGGCTTATACTCTCTGTGTTTATTTTCTATCGGGTCTATCATTGACGGGAAATGGAGCACCTTTCTTTGAGTACCTGTTTCTTTTAGTCTTGGTAGCATACTTTGGTTCATCTGTTTTCTTCTTTCTCAGTACTGTCTCTCCAATTCAAGAAGTGGGGAATGCTTTGGCAGGTACTTTTGCTCCCATAACAACAGTTTCCACACACACAATTTTTGAAAAACCTTCAAAACAATTCTGATTGGGTAATTATTAACCACATCAATTCACTTGTTGCAGGTCTACTTGTTTCAATCTTCCTACTATTCAGTGGCTTTGTGATCTACCCATCCAACATACCAACATACTGGAAATGGCTCATGTATATCAACCCCATTCACTGGGCGAACGTATCATATTGCAGTTTCCAGTTTGAGGGCTACAGAGAGCCGTGCTCCAATTACCTCGGCCAACTTCCTTTTTGTGATCAGTACCCAAAAATGACAGTTGGAAAAGCCTACCTGACCTTCTATGAGCTTTATGAAGACACCAAGAGACCATGGCTTCCCTATGCCATTCTCCTGGGGTGGACAGTAATTGGCAACTTGTTGGCATTATTGGGCCTGAAGAAAATAGAGTTCACAGGAACCAGCCAATCGCTGCCCCATCTCAGAAAAACCCCAGTATTAAGCAATTTTAAAGAAGATACAGAGAGTGAATTTCAGTCAATGAATAGCTACAATGAACATTCTAAGGATTACAACACTTCCCAATATTCTAGTGCACGCAGTTCACCATCAGCTCATGGGAAAATGAAGGAAAATGGAGTTGAGAAATGGATTGAAGAATTCCGAATCGATCTCGAGAGGAATGGGCTAGGAATTCCAGTCGAACCAGTAACCCTTATATTCGAGGATCTGTCATTTACAAGGTGAGCATTCATATCCTGTAATTAAGCCATTTTAACTTCAAAAGTTCATGCAAAACCACAGAGAAACATCGACTATAATATTTTCTATGCATCAGGTATGATGAGAAAACAAAGGGGAGTGTCTCAGTTTTCAACTATGTCACCGGCTATGCTAGACCACAAAACATGCTAGCCTTACTTGGCGGTTCCAAATCAACTAAGGAAACACTCCTCAAATGCCTGGCAGGAAGGGTACCTTTAAGTGGCAGCTTGAGCGGAGACCTTCAGGCAAACGGTGTCAAACCTGGAGCCACCTTCTCTAGACTAGTAGGCTATGTTGAGAAGCTTGATGCCCACCAACCTTACCTATCTGTCCGTGAATCCCTTCAATTCAGTGCAGCACTTCGTCTTGACCAAGCAATCAACGCTACAAGTCGTCGTATTCATGTTGAGTTGGTCTTAAACCAACTCGGTTTGTTGCCCTATTCCAACCAACTTGTTGGGTCTCTTCGAGATGCCACTGGAAAGACATTTGAAATAGCCAAAAAGATGACAATAGCAGTTGAGTTGGCCGCTAACCCAAGTATTCTCTTTCTTGAAGAACCGATGTCTGGCCTTGATATCATAGGAACTTTGACTATCCTCAACATGCTCTATCAAGTGTCGGAATCTGGTCGTGTCATTATTGCCACTCTTACACATCCAAATGCTCGTTCACTGTCCTTCTTCGACCAGGCTCTCATTCTGACACAAGAAGGGCGCCAAGCATATTTTGGCCCAATAGGATCGAACTGCTGTGATTTGCTAGATTATTTTACATCAATTCCAAAGGTCCCTCAATATTTGATCAGAGAAAATCCAGTTAGTTTTGTCATGGGGGTTCTTGGCCTAGGCATAAAAACTAGGGGCACTCCTTCACTGAACTTTGCAGAGATCTACACAGCTAGCTCCTTGAATGAGATCAACAACAAAGAGATTGGTAGTATAAAGAAACTGACCAAGAACAGAACAGCAAGGTCTTTATCTTCTACTTATCCAGCTCCATATTCACGACAAGCGAGTTTGGTACTGCTAAGAACACAGAGGTTCTTGTGGAGGAATGTGCAATATACATATGCTAGACTTACAGGGTGTGTCATGATTGGCCTCCTGATGGGTTCTCTGTACTTTCAGATCGAATACAAGGACACATATGGTGTGACTTCACGTTCACTTTACATATACATGCAAGTTATACTCGTAGGAGTTATCTCTGCAAACAATGTCATACCACAGATAGGCACTGACAGGCTGGTGTACTTCAGAGAGAAAAGGGCTGGAATGTATCTTCCAATATTTTATCCAGTGTCATGGGCAGTGGGTGAAATTCCATATTTCTTAATTGCTACACTTGCAGTGGTTGGAATAGGAAATGGAATGGCAGGAATTGGAACAGATTCAGCTTCAGAATTCCTAATGTGTTGGCTAGTGCTCTTTACCTTCACGTTGTGCGTAACATATTTTGGGATGATGGTAACTTTTCTAGCACCAGTGCCAACACTTGCTGCATTTATTGTGTCGATTGTGACATCATTGTGGGTGTCCACTTCTGGGGTAGTTGTTTTGCTATCAGACATAAAGTTCTATCGATGGATGTATTGGAGCAACCCATTCCAATTTGCCCTGAATGCAATGACATCAATTAGTTTCTACTGTGACACAAAAGAGTGCAGATCAAAATGCGACTGCCCACAGCTTCCAGATGGCTCTTATGTATGGGATAGATTATCAATAGTTAGAGCCTTGAATCAAGCAAGGATACAAACGGACATACTCACCTTGTCTGCAATGTGTTTGCTGTTTTCCGGTCTTGCCTTTCTCTTCTTTGTTGTGCTGAAGCACAATTCAACTGCCCGTGCATAGAATGTGAAATGATGGAAGATACTGATAGAGCAAAGCGCAGAAGCAAATAGAGAGGTGAGAACTAAATTTTAGAACTGAAGATAGTGACAAAGGTAAAACCAAGAACTAATATGGTCAAGGATATAAATAAGATAATTCTTGAACCTAGCATTCTTTTTTGGTGTGAAACTGTTTCATAGAACTTCATTGATATCTTCTTTTTTACAAAACAAACCGACACTTCCTTCTATTGTAACAATGACAAAAATATACCTTTTATGTGGAAAAGGCCCGTCTCAATAATTATGATTTTTATGTAGACAATTAATTAAAATCTTATTCATTCACCATAAATTAAGAAATGCTATGTACCCAGAAAAAAGGGGAAAAAAAGCAAGCAGAAAAGTATTGTATCAAAAATTTGAATGTATGGTGTAGATTTAAACTTGATGTGGTGTGGGTCACACTCAAAGTGAATCTAATTCACACATTTCAAATTTTGGACACTTTTCTAGGTGCATAGCATTTGTCACAATAAAATATTTCCTTTATGCATTAGGGAAAAATAAATAAAAAATATTTTTGGGTGTGAGAATACTATTTCACACTGATGCAAGATGGTGACGAAATGTATTACTTGTACAAAACTTTCCATTATAAATTCATCGTGAATGGGATATATACATAGAACACCACTCCTAATTACCATGCTTGTCCCCATGGCCTTGTGTCACAGGGCTATGCTCTCCAACCCCCATAGTGTAGGTTATGAGTTCCAGCACCATGTGGGGCGTTAGAGGGTGATCCGCTTTCCCTTTCCCTTTCTACATTAGAGTAGGTCCTAACAAGTGTCAAAAAATAAATTAAATAAAAAGAGAGAAAAATCATGCTTGTAAAAACCCGCAGAAGAGTTGAGAGTATAGTTTGAGCATCTCTTGGATTCTTAACATTTTGGGTAATCTTTTTTTTTTTTTCTTTTTTTTTTCTTTTTTGGATAAGTAACATTTTAGATAATCTTTGGTTTGCAAAAGGATATTTTTTAAGATTTGTGCATGTTTTCCACAATGAACCAACAACATATTGCTTAATATGGTTTATGTTATTTTAATAATCTCAAATGTCTTACCATTGTAGTATTAACATGCAGCCAGTAAGCTGCAAAACTCAGGGTACTGCCATGATCTTCTACACAGAAGTTAATGTCCATCCTGCAAAGCTCCTATCAGGGAAGTATATTGCTTCATCTCATCGGCAATGCATTCCTAACTTTCTCACATTTCACTCAGATATTATTCTTAAATTATACATCTGTACTGTCTGCATGTAAATCTCCTTACATATATAGTAAAATGTATTTCATGTAAGTAATCAATTAGTCTGAATGTTTTTTGGATGGACTAATGTTTGTTGATTAAATGTGTGATATTGTTCCATTAATAACAAAATTAAGTACTTAAAACTAAACATAATTAGTAGCTTTAGTATATTATCTAACTGTGAATAATTGTCCACCACTTAATTTTGAAAATGGATTTAAAAGCGATATCAATTTTAAACCAGCAAACAAATAAAGTGAAATAAAAAGTAGTACTTAATTTTCAATTCTACTAAAAATGTCTGAATATTTTTCCTAAAATTGATTTTCCTAGTTAAAAATAGTTTATAGTTTGGAGGTGTAGGTGTTAATTTCCGACCACACAACCAAAGGGGAAACTCAGCTAAAAATCACCGGTAGAAAAATCACCGGTAGAATAGATTAAGCCCAACAACCTGTAACAAAAAGATGAGAATTCCCGCTAATATTAAAAGAGTACTTAAACTCACAAGTAAAAGCATCTCAAATAAAGCATATCTTAGACCTGTGGGTGCCTTACTTTTATAATGATCAGTGACCAACTTCCCTAGAAGTCTTATTTCATGGGGCTCTATCCTTTACAAGGATAACATCTATTACAACTCACAGAATAAGATGAACTTCTTCAAGAGTCTCATCTCTATCCAAATAGGTAGCTTGATGTTATCTAGGACTCTAGTCCTCTATCTAAATATCTCGGATTCTGATATCCCTGCAAAATATCTCAGCAGTGCCCTAAACATCTCGGCAAACATATCTACTCACGTGACACCTCGACTGACACCTCAGCATCACCTTAGCCACGTGGTGTCATCTCAAAATACTTCCCCACAGGAGGGCATTAGTATTCTCAGAATTGGCAACACTGATGTAAAAAGGGGAGGGGTAAGAAACAACTATAGGCTTTCCATCATTTGGCCTACCCGGCCCTGTTATGTACCTGTTTCGATCATACTGTGACAATAGCAAGTCGCCTTGACTTGCGGTGAGCAACTAAACTACAGGCGTTGTTGAAGGAGTAGTTGAATATTTTATACCTCGCCAACACTTGCCATTTTTGGAAGAGCGAAATTGCTATATATTTCAATAATTTTAAGTTCCATTGTTATAGCCCAAATAAGAAAGAAAACACTCTAAAATTTGTTCAAACAACATGGCATGAGCCAGAGAAGCACTTTGTATCAGTATGTTGGCTGTCTCAAGGACTACTGCAGTACAGTTTTGCCAGTTGAATGGCAACTGATGTACTAACGTCTAACAATATATCAGCAGCAACAAAAATTGCATACAAGGCCTTTAACAATCACCCTCCCTAGTTTCTTCTCAACCTTCTTTAGACTTTGATTAGTTTGACAAATGCAAAGGTAAGTGACAGCACCACATAAAAGAATTTACTTCAGAAAACAGACAACCGAAAAAGAAACAAAAACCCAAAAACAAAGAGCGCCGTGATATACCGTAATGGCTATGAAGCATGAACAGATGCGATATATGTACACAATACAGATACGGCGAACCAATAAAATCTAAAAAAATAGATTATGGGTACAACCAATATACATTGAAAAATAATTTATAATTTTTAGTATTATATTATACATGAAACTAGAGTATTAGTTTCAGAGCCAAGTCAGTTTCATTTTTTGTTTTTTTTCATTTTATTTATTTGATAAATCTGAAAAGTAAAGCACTACTTAATCTCACTATTTTTTCTTCGGCAAGAAATAAAAAAAAAAAAAAAAAACATATGTTGAAAAACTATTTTTTCATTTATTCTAATGAATGTACTCTAATAATATGCAAAAATTATCACAATTTAATTTCATAATAGTTTGGTTATATGACCTAGGGCTACATTTGACAATGGACTAATTTAGCCAAAAAGTCAAAAGTCACTAAAAATATCAAAGAGCCATATAAAAAAGTCAAAGATTCTTTCTCATTCTCTCTACTTTTTTACATTTTGTCATAAAAAGTAAAAAATTAATTCCCAAATACTTAATTTTTTTAACCAAAAAGTTAAAAAGATACTAAAAAAGTCACTTCCCAAACTAATCCCAGAGTGTCCAAAAGATATCCGACACTTCTCATATCAGATACTTACAAGTGTACAAGTATTGCAACTCATCAATATCTACTATAAATACAATACAGATATAACCCCTTTTTAGAAGTATCCGTGCTTGATAATCTAATGGACTTTAAACAGGGCATGACATTGATGTGAGATGAAACAGGTGGCATAATTTGTACCTCTAGAATTTCCAGCGTGAATCTTTTGGGTTGATACAAATTTGCCCCAAATGGCTAATCTGAACGCAAGTTTTGAACTACTTACCTTCAAACATTAACATTCATTTAGGACATTTGGAGAAGAAATAAACAATTGTTGATACTTTTTTATTTATCTGAGTTCATTTGTTAAAAATCATAGAATAACTGAATTTCCAATTACTGTACTATATAGCAAACAAAATCGAGAGTGAGCAGACAGGTCATTTTAATTAGACGAAAATGAGGCTAAGTTTGGGAAGTCCCAAATAAGCCAAAAAGCTAAAAAGTTACTCAAAAAGTTAAAAAGTTAACACTATTCACCAAAAGTCAACAATTACGGCTGCACAACTCCCAATTCAAATTTTCCTCTACAAACCAATTTTTACAATTTTTTATTACACATTTTTCCATAAAAAGTCAAAAAGTTAACCCAAACATCCATATTTTCAATCTCAATTTTTTAGTCCAAAAAGACAAAAAGTACACTTATTTATTCTTCCCAAAGAAATAAGGAATGAATTCGAAATGAAGAACGTAAAACAAAGTCAAAAATTTCTAAAAACTTGCACAATTATCGTTCTGACGAAGCTCTTGCAAACTCAATTGCCAAAGTTCCGTTTGCTCGCGAACTTAAAAAAGCCTGTTTGGGAATTGAATTTTTTTTTATAGTGATTTTGTTAATTATTTTTAGGTAAATTATAAATATATTTGTTTAATGGGCAAATTATATATACCTCTCTTGAGATTTAGCTAAATTACAGATATCCCCTGAGGTTTCGGAAATTACAGATACTCTCCTGAGGTTTATATTTTCATAATAAATTGTCCCCTGAGGTTTATATTTTCATAACAATTTGCCCCTTAATTTATTATGCAAATAGTACCTTCAGAGGGTATTTATAATTTCTCAAACCTCAGAGAATATCTGTAATTTTGCTAAAACTCGTAGGGGGTATATGTAATTTGCCCTTGTTTGGAATATGAATTAGTTTACGTGGTTTTGAAAATTATAAATATTTTTTTGTCAAAATTTTTTATTTAACAGAATTAATAAAGAAAATAAAATTCCTAACTATTTTTCTTTGCAATAATAAAAATATTAGAATTTTTAATTGAAATATCCTTTTGATATTATTAAAAATTATTAATTGACTTAATAATTTATTAATAAAATAAGTCATTTGTTATGTGATTTGAAATTTGAGAGAGCATGATGTAATAAAAGAAGTCAACTTGCTCGACGTAGGCTTGCTTCTCTTGGCAGGCTGCTTCAATTAGGTTACTTTCTTTGCTAACTAGGAATTCCTAGAGATTGAGCAACAAAGTTAAATTTTGTTTCTAGCTCTTTTTTTTATAGTTATATATTTTGGTTTAGAGAAATACAAGACAGAAGCTAGATTGATGCAAAAATGCACTTGGGAAAAAAGAGAATGCTTCTATCTCTCAAAGACGGCATGAGGATAGTGTAGTACCAAGACTAGTAGGAGAATAGACTTCATCCATTTGGACAAAACCCATATCTCTACTAATCGGTTGTACTTGATCAGGTTTCAAATAATTTCAAGATCACCGAGTCGCTCAAGAATCAAGGGAAAAGGACCAAAATCAATACAAATAGGGTAAAGACATAAGAATAAATAAATAAAAATATACATTTTAGTGTAAAGTGATAAGATAATATCAATTTTTCATCTGTTTAATTAGCAAATTATTAATAAAAATAGAGCTCAATATTATGTGAATTAAAACTTTAAAATAGCCTAATATAATTGTGTTAAAACTATAAAAATCTTGAGAGCTCAGTGTAATTTACCCTTTAATTAATTATATATGTTCCAAGTTCTTTGTTTTGCACTACCTCTGACAACTTGACTTTTAGTTGAAGTAGCTAAATAGTAAAAAGGTGATTAAAAAAATCAAAAATTATTAAGTTATAGTTTTTGATACAATTAAAAAAAAAATCATTCCCAAACTGATTAATCTTTTTTCTACCTCATTAAAAAAATTTAAAAAAATTACATGCAAATAACAAATACATGGTATAGAAATAGAATTTAACTTGTTGCTCAATCTCTAGGAATTCCTTTTGTTGTGTTTGGTTAGAGAATTTGAAGAAGGATTTAAAAAGAAAAATAAAAAAAGTAGATAAAATTTAAATAAAATATATCTTTTTCCCTTTTCCTTTCCAAATCTCTCCCGAAATCCCCCAATCAAACACACAGCATTAGAATTATCGAAGAAAGAATCCTATCAAAAGAAGCAAGCCTACATCGAACAAGTTGACTCCAAGTTGACTCCCTTTATGTTGTTCGCTTCGCTATTATGGCACAATTCTTCCGCTCGCAAAAGCCTTTGAAAACCTCATACAAGTTTATGCATAAAAAGGTTTGTCCACATTACCACTTACTCTATTTGGTTTACTAAAATGAGATAGAATAGAATAAAATAGTCTTTCTTTAAGCTCTCCTATAAAATTATCATTCTCTTATAATAATGAATGGTAATTCCATTTACAAAACATTTTCATTATTTCTTTAATAACCAAACAGAAGAACAGGTACTCTGATGAAATAATTATTTCATTCAAATAAACTAAAACGCTGCCTTACAATATCTAGAGATCTAATGTCATCATCAATACATCTAATGAAATCAACAATCGAGCAGCTGGGTGTGGAAAGTCCATGATAGCTACAAATTTCATCTCCGAATTGCACGTCGAAAGTTTTTAAATGAACGAATTTCTACTCTGATTTTATTTATCATCAGATGTAGATATGAATTCATGTGTATTTATTTACATGCGCCTTACTATTTGACTATATTTTTTGGTCTAGTGATAAAAAAACTAATCAACAAAACAATCCATTTAGAACTAAAAAAGCATTTTTTAAGAGGGCTCTTACGCTGTGTTTGGTTGGGAGATTTGGAAAAGAAAATGGAAAGGGAAATGAAAAGAAAAGGAGAAAGAATTAATAGAGTTTCAAATCCCAACTATGTTTGGTTGTGTTGGTTATAAAATAGAATTAATGTCCTAAATGGTCTCTTATTTCTTTATTTATTTCTCACCCCCTTTCCTTTCCCATATATTTTTTATTATAACCAAACATAAATAGGATTACATTTCTCATTCCTTTTCCAAATCCCACCCCAAAAACCCCAACCAAACACAGCATTAATATTACGGAACTGGTTCCTCTGGCGTGCATCAACTGAATTAAAAGCAATTATAGACAAGCACAACATCATTATCTAAAATAATACGGATTCCAGTCTGGTAAAAAGAACCATGCACCAACCAGTTGACTATGGCTTGGCCCAAGGCCAGCAAGTGCCAAGCTTCCATATTCATTTCCACAATTGCATCATCCTATACCCGCTTCAGAACTACATTGTCTGCCCAAATCCAATTCCCCGATACATTTCTCAAAAAAATGCAATTCGAGCAAGTTCAAGAGATCTTGGCAGAATTGCCATATACGGGAAGAAATACGCAACATGTACTTTTTTTTCTTTTCATGCTTCACAAGACATCAGAACAGCCTCCTCTTGCCTAATGTACAGAAACAACACGATATGCTCATTCAGCTCTAATTTCTATTCAGACTCAGTTTGAGATCTCCCAAATATGCAACTTTTTTTTTAGGCTAAAAAAGCCAAAACATAAAAACTTGTTTGGGAAAGACTAAACTATAACAAGGCAACCTTTTTTTAGCAAATTTATAAAAGACATTTTTACCCCCACCCCCACGGACTACATACCTATAAAGTTAAAAAAGAAACAACCCCCCCCCCCCCCGAAAAAAAAAAAAAAAAAAAACAACTGCCAAACCCTACAGTAATCTATCTAGATGCAATTCTTCAAAACAAGGTTATTCAAGCACGAAGAAACATGGAGATAAAGGTTCGAGATGTGCACACAAAAGAAACAGGACTTCCTTCTGCAGTTTTTGATACGGTAACACGAGCTTTTGATCTCAAACCATAACATTGTTTTCTGGCCTCTCTTTCAGATCCTCCCTCGCCAACATTTTTCTTGCCTCATTCTGAACCCCACTCTCGCTTGCACAAGCACTGCACTAAAGACGGACCACCGTTTCTTCAAAACCCTACAAGGCTATAACTAAATTCTGAAAAGTCAAAAAACATGGTTAGTTAAATCAGAGGCCAAGAATAAATGAGAGCTACCGAGACCTTCAACTGCAGAACTCTCTTAAATTACACTGAAATCCCAAACTATCAAACAGATCATTAAAATAGATGTTTATCTTTATCCATTTAATGTTACAATCTTTCAATGAAACAGAAACAGGGTAATCAAGATAACCCATTGAGGTTTGGGCATGGTTGAGTAGCAGCATTTCCTAGGTCTGCTTTTAAGAACAAGGCAAATACAAAGAGAAAAACACGAAATGAGAACAATTAAGCATAGATAAGAGGGAAGAAACATAGCTTCCATACAGAAGAACACTTCGTCTGTTTGTCACATTCTTCGTCATATTACAACCCAAGGAAAGGACACTGCTTCCGAGCATGCTCTGGAATCAATTTCACCAAAACTTCCACCGGCACCCCCTTCAACTCTGGATCACCAATAATTTGAACAATCAAAAAATTGACATAGAAAACAAAGCTAAACCGAGAAAAAATTGCTTTCAAATGGTTTTTTGTACCATGGGGCTTAAAGTTGAATAGCGGGGGAAGAAAACGTCCATTAGGTAGGCGAGTGTTTGGATCACGAAGCTCTTCAAAGAATGAGTGGGTCAAGGCATCCAACTTGTATTGGAAGTAAACAAATCACATTATTAGTACAAAAGCAGCAGGAAGGGAAAATTCACAGGAAAGCAACTGAAACACGGAAGTAATTTTTTCTAGTGTTATCATCCTAACAAACATAGCACAAACAATATCAAGAAATGTGCATGTTAACTGCGTTTCAACTGAGCAAACCCGTAACATTCAAATGCAAAAGAGAAACCACAGAACAATTAAAACCTCTAATTAGGACAACTTACTGGGGAAAAGGGAACGATTAAAAAGAAAACGAAAAAAAAGACACTAATTACTCACGGCTGAGCAACGCAGGTTAGGAGAGTATTGCAGCAGTCTTGAAACCAGGTCAACAGCTTCTGGAGGCATGCGTTTATGGAATATCTGATAACCGAAAGGAAACAAATGTTTAATATCATATTGTAGAGTGAGAATGGTAACAACAAAGATAACGTCTTTTAGCTCCTAGTACCTTGTGCCATGGATGAGCTTTGATTTGTGGGAATTTAAACTCTGTATAGTTAGGATTCATGCATTTAATTTCCTCCCTTGTTGGAGTACCCAAAACCTATAAACAATTGCATAAATTTTGAGAGACTTTTTTTATAAAAACAAAAGAAAAATGCCTTAATGTCTCATATCAGAACAAAAGAAACAGGCCAGAGACATATAAAATTGACAGAGTGATAAGAAAATGAGAAAACACATCATTTCTCAAGCCACCAAAAGAAGAATTGTATGGGACAACATCGACGCAAACACGTGATCACGACATTCACGAATTTATTTCAGGTCATCCATTCAATACCAATAAATGGCATTACATAACATACTCTGCTTCATTCATTTATATATTCTGACAAATCTGATCCCACCCCTTAGAAATATATAATCTGTTTTAACACATGCCAATGCCGATTAGCAACACAGATGCCAAGTTTATGAAGGAAAAATGTTCTTCCCAAAAAGGCAATTTTAGCAAATACAAATGCACAGAGAGATTACCTTGATAATCTCAACAAGCTGGTCAACCCCACTCTCACCAGGAAACAAAGGCTGAATCAACAAAAGAATAAAAATAAAACAAGTTATGTCATAAAGATTTTGCTTTTCAATTTGCCCATCAGGCATACCATATAATTTAGATATACTGAAGCTTATAGGACCTTGTAGGACAAACTATGTACCTGTCCAAGAAGTAGCTCAGCAAGAACACAACCAGCAGACCAGACATCAATAGCAGTAGTGTACTCCGTCGCTCCAAATATAAGCTCAGGTGCTCTATAATACCTAGAGCAGATGTAAGAGATATTGGGCTCTCCTTTTACCTGCCAAAAATAAGGAATCAAGCATTTCAACCAAAACACAACTAATGGAGAAAAAAAAATGAAAAGACATAAAAGAACATACCAAAACTTTAGCACTTCCAAAATCACATAGTTTAAGTTGGTGGGTATGAGGATTCACCTGCACAAAAATATCAAGTTCTTATTAACAAAAGAGTTAATGAGGTGGTGGGAAAATAGTATATAAGAAAGGGCACTGGAGGTGAGATTTCAAAATTCATCGATGAACACATAAGACAACAGTCTTGACAGAAAATGAACAGGATAATTCGAAATTTGTCGCGAGAAATTTAACAAAGGATTAAAAATGCCTATCTAGAACACCAGTGAGTGCAACAAATGCAGCTGCATACCAAAAAATGTCTTGGGTTTGTTCTGAAGATCACTTGAGAAGGAAAGGGGGAAAAAATTATGCCTTCGAAAGGAAAATGAAACTGCTTTTTTCACAATTTCAATAATTTTTTTCAGGTTAGCACTTTTTTTATTTTTTATTTGTTTTTGGCTCCTCCTTTTGTTTGCATGTTCTTAAAAATAAGGATAGCACAACCTGAACTCCAAAGTAAGTAAACCAACCAAAACAGTAAGATTGTGTTTGGTAGAGTTTTCTAAAATTAATTCCACCATTACATTCTAATGCTATGTTTGGTTTGAGTTTTCAAATCATGATTCCAAATCAATTTCAAAATACATTTGAAAACATGTTTGGTAAACAAACAATTTTGGAATTTTTGGTCTACCCCGTCGTCCGCCTGGACATCTAGGTCGTCCGGCTAGTTGACCGGAGCAGTACTTTTTTTTTTTTTTTTTTCCCATTGCCAATTGCCACCTGTTATTTGGAAATATATATATATATATTTGATATTTTTTAAATATAGAAATTATTTTTTAGACCAAAATGACAAATTATTTTTTGAATTGAATTTTAAAAAGAATTTAATTATGAGTTTTGAATAAAATTTTTAATAGAATTTTGAGTTGTGTGTTTGGTTATGAGTCATAAGTTTTTTAATTAAGTTTTGAAAACTCTTTTCAAAACTCATAACCAAACAACTTTTCTTTTTTCAAATCATAATTTCAAAACTCACAAACTCAAAATACAACTCTATTCTCAAATCATAATTCTAAAACTCTACCAAACGCTACCTTAATTTTTACTGCTACCAGCACTCCCAGCAGATGAAATTCCAGATCTACATCATATGTCAGCCCCATTTAAACCTTGAACATTAAACTACGACAAGCTATACATCCTCTTAGGAATATTACTGCTGATTTATAGATCAATCCACTCCTATTGCATTATAAGGAAATCCATGTAATTTTCATGTGGAATACAATTGTCAAAATTCCTATTATTGATAATCCCTGGAACACAATATTCCAGTGGACAAGACAGAAAAGGAATATAGTCCACCCCTCTACAAATGTAGCACTAGAGGCATGCTAATGTAAATCAAATGGATGGTCTTCCATATCAAAAGGTGTTTCCTTCATGAGTTTAACCAATTGATGAATGAAAACTAGTATTCTTATAGAGGCACAAGTTGCAACTAAAAATTAATCAATGCAAAACCATTAAATTATCTCTCATCTACACTGAGCTCTCGATCTTTCACAAACTCTAAGGTCCTTTCATATTATTTTCCCCTTACAGAACATTTCTGTTTTTGACTTCTCAGCTCATGCCAAACATAAATTTGCGATGGTATTGACCAAAACATTCACCACAAATCACAATCATCACCAACTAAACCAACCACATAGGATGTTGAATATTTAAGACAATGGGGCGGGGCGGGGCGCCTTAATTCTTGAATCTTAAAAACTGTTTGGGTTTTATCTTCTCCTTCCTTTCTTACACCAAGTTGTGAACAACAAACTGAAATAAATAAAGTGTACTTTGTTTGTTACTTTCTATCTCAAAGTTTCAAATCACTCGGAACAAAGTACCTAAACTGCAAACCTAGAGGCGAGAAGACTGACAGAGATGGTGCCAAGATACCCAATCCATCAGCCTTAATTAAAGTCCAACAGACTCCTGCAGAGCCAGGAGCTTGCTTAAGTGGAATTAGACAACACTAAAGCTTGATTACACTACAGTAAGTAATCAAATCAGACAAAAGCAAAGCAAATAGACAAACATGTTCACATACCAAAAGATTTTGAGGCTTGATGTCCCGGTGACAAACTCCAATGCTGCGATGAATATAAGACAAAGCCCTGAAGATCTGCCATATATCATCAACATATTATAGTCTCTACAAGATTAAATTTAAAAACAACTTTTTTCAACGAAAAAAAAAAATGTAAGACCACCCAGCAAGAACATTGAGATGACATTTAGGGGTTGTTTGGGGTGTAATAAATAAGTGCACTTTTTGACTTTTTATGAAATATGGGTTGGATATGTGTTGGATTTGAAGTGATGTGATAGAGAGGTGATGTGACTTAAATAAGATGATGTGACTCAAATAAGATAGTGACTTTTTGACTTTTTAGATTTTTTTAGAAATGCCAAACTTGGCCTTACTATAATCAGCCACGAAATTTTTTTACAAAAGATTTTGAGGCTTGATGTCCCGGTGACAAACTCCAATGCTGCGATGAATATAAGACAAAGCCCTGAAGATCTGCCATATATCATCAACATATTATAGTCTCTACAAGATTAAATTTAAAAAACAACTTTTTTCAACGAAAAAAAAAATGTAAGACCACCCAGCAAGAACATTGAGATGACATTTACTATAATCAGCCACGAAATTTTTTTAGAGAGAGAGAGAGATATAGAAAGGAGGAAGACCAAGGAACTGTGTCGGTTGGTAAAGCATGAAGAAACCAAAAGCACACACATTTTTTAAAAAAATAAAAGAAAATGAAAAATAAATAAAGAAATGATACTAAAAGTCATAAGAGTAAATCAAAATTCTCTTCCAATACCCAATAAAAAAATAGTCAAGACAACACAAATAATATTTCTTGATGTCAATATCATTGTTCATGTCATTTCCTTCTTCCAGTTTGCTAGGTGAATTGACATTATGTAAAAGAGTGTTAGCATTATTTGAACTGTAAAAACATGTTTGCATCACTTGTAAAGTCAAGAGATGTGAACATAAGCATCAGAAAGATGTAGAAAGGTGTCAATTCTGCATATATATGAGCTTGCAAGACTAAAAAAAAAATGCAGTCCATATAAGCAAGACAAAGAAACACCACAGAGCCACATCATTAAGTGAAAAGGAGCTAACACCACACCTGATATGTATACAGCTTTACATATATCAGCGGCATACGTTGGTTCAACTTATTGTAGTGTTTAATCACACGATGAACGGTCTCAGGAACATACTCAAGTACCAGATTAAGATAAAGTTCATCCTTCTCAGTTGTAGAAAAGAAACAATGCTTCAAAGCCACAACATTTGGATGGTCAAGAAGACGCATGGTTTGCAACTCCCTGTTCTTGTATCTCTTGTCTTGAAGAACCTTTTTTATAGCAACAGTTTCACCAGTCTCTAAGCACTTTGCCTGAATAAACAAAGATTACCATGTAAATATTTGTTCATCAGGAAAAATAAGTAAATAAAAATTATTGCAACAATTTCCAAGTTAAAACAGTATGCAGCCTTACCTGAAACACAACCCCAAATGACCCATGTCCAACTGCACGCTCAGCCATGTAGCTAATTGTCTGAAAATAATTAACAGCTGAACTCACTTAAACTAAACCAAGTGAAATAATGACATAAAAATAGAATAATAATTTTCATGAGCATAACATATTGAAACTACACAACCATAAGCACACCCCAAGTGGCAGCGGCCATGTGTCTACCACAACCCAATGAATACAAGACAGATAATTCAATCAATTAATTTATTACATAATCAAATACATTTCTTTCATGCGAAAGCAGAACTATAATAGTATATAAAAAGAAAATAGAAGGACAAAAAACACTTCCAACAAATGGGTTCCTGTTCCTCGTGTTAATGCCTGAATAGACACTGAGAAATAACTAACACTGAAAGACAGAATGATAATAAGTGCACGAATAGCACCAAAACTAACCTCGTACATTTGTTATCAAATCTTCATCATAGTAATGAAAAAATAAATAAATATCCAGCTACTGCAGAATACCTGCTTTGGCTGTCCATTTCGACCACCTATAGTTGTCACAATTATATGACCCGTCTCTGTCCCATTTCCATCAACAACTGTGGCCTCCACTTCCTAGAAAAACAAAATAGCCAAAGTTAAATGGTACCAAATAATCAAAGAGCAAAAAAAACAAAAACAAAAACAGATATTAAATCAGCAGGTGTACCTTATCATCCCTAATTTTCATGTCATTCATCTCCTCAGGCAACCTATCAACACCAACAGTATGGCCACTTGGTTCTCTCAAACCAGAAATCGGTGCTACACCCACTGAAGCCATTAACTAAAACAGATGCCCCACTCAATGTTTTACCTCAATAAACAAATCATTAACCTGTTAAATCAACACAATATCAATATATTCAAATCAGAAACTAAGTTTTACATAGCCCACATATTTTCTATCTTTGACCTCTCCAATAAATACAATATTAAGGGCTAGTTTGGCATGTACTAAATAAGCCAAAAAGTCAAAAAGTCACTATCTTATTTAAGTTACATCATCTTATTTAAATCACATCACCTCTCTAACACATCACATCAAACCCAACCCAAACCCAACCCAAACCCACCAATAAGTCAAAAAGTGCACTTTTTTAAGACATCCCAAACCAACCCTAAGTTTGAGTTTTGCAATCTAAATGAATTAAATTAAATGAAATTATCAGTGGAACATATAGAGGAAACTAAAAACTAAAGTTCAAATAACAAACAACCCAAGCGGTATATCCTGCCATGTGAAAGGGCCACATTTACACTCATGAGGCCACAATAATACCACCGGTAACACAATCAAATAAATGTTAAAACAACATTTATTTTTTATAACAAAGCATCACAAACCAAGCAAAATAGGAGCGTCTAGGGTAAGGGTTGTTCCAAATTGTGCACTAGCTAATGAGGCTTTTAAATTTATTGATATAAACAAAATTAACATAAAGGAAAGGTAATAAATTAAATGTATTATGCCACTAGCAGGGCCCAACAAACTTGCACAACAACCCATGTAACGCTATCCACAATATTGCACAACCCCCCCCATTCACAATTACTAATAGAACCTATCAGCCCAACCTAAGAAGCACATAGACTCCTAAGAAGCTAACACGCCGTGTCCAACACTAACACACGACTCTTATTGAACACTTCCAAACACTTGAACACACATGAAATAAAAGATCTTGGAATACAATAATAAAACAAAAACAATGTAAATTTATACTTAAATATTCATATACATGATATAATAATTATTGATCCTTATATTTGACATAATAATAATTTTGTAAATTGATATACATTTTGCATATATCACCCATGTTGTGCCCTACATATTTTAAAATTCTAAGTGTGCTTGTGCTCGTGCTTCTTAGAGCCCAACTAGTAGAACCTGTGTCAAGATCAAGCACAACCATCTATTCACAACAAAATCAGCGACCTTTCCTACACACTCAAGTTAACAAACAAACACCCAAGAAAGCCAAAGATGATCATGAACAGAAAGCTCCGACTTATGACTATCAATTCTGGGAACAAAACCAAAATCAAATATCTACCACATTTTCCAAGCCAACTCAATATCAATATTTTTTTTTATCTCCCCAAATTTCATGTTTCACCATAAATTTTGGAGAGAACAAAAAAAGTGGACAGAATTAGATATATATCTAAAAAGTCAGTACCAACAATTTTAGTAACCCATCAGAGGGTTACCTTCCAATACCTTTTTTCAATGAACCCCCAAATCTTTTTCGTGGATTTCCAGCTGATCTTAACAATCAAAAACGGAATCAACCATCAAGGGACACAGAGAAAAAATAAATTAATTTTAAAAATAAAAAATAAAAAAACTCCCAAAGGGTCTATCTTGGAATCATTTTTTAAAAATAAAAAAGGAAAAATCATAAACAAACCAGAAAAAATAAACAAGAGAGAGAACATATATGGTATGCGATTATACACAAATATACACAAGCTTGAGTAATCAATAAATAAACAAATGAATGAAAACAACAAAAATCTAAGAACACGAAGGAAGATCTAGTACCTTGACAAACCCAAAACAGGAATTTAAATCAATACATCCACAAAAAAATAAAAAAGACACAAAAGAACCCAATCAACGATCTACAGACCCAAATCATTAAATTACATTTCCAACCGATCCAAAAATAGAAACCCAGAAATGATCTTTCATATAACAGAATGGAAAGGAAGAAGAAACGTACCGATCGAATCAAAACCCACCACGAGACTCAGAAGAAATTGGTGATCGATCTGTCCCTGTAGATGAGAAAACATGGGCTAGAGAGAGAGAGAGAGAGAGAAAAGAGAGAGAAACCTAATAGAATGGAGAGAGAGAGAGAGAGAGAGGAAAGAGCGATGCTTTTCTGCTTTATTTATTTTAATTATTATTTTTTTATCTATTTCCACTCCTGTTGCCTTTTGTTTTTTTTTTGAACTAGTGTTGCCTTTTGTTGTTCTTATGCTTTTGCGTGGTGCTTAAAAATTCTAGATTAAAAATTAATTTTTTAATTTTTTTTTTAAAATTATGTAAAATAATAAAGATATGATATGATTAAAAAAAATTAAAAAACCAATAAACTGGCTTTAACTTAATTGCCAAAAAAGGTCATACTTTCCTATTTTTTTGTCTTTTATTTTTTCTTTTTCTTTTTTTTGCTTTTAGAAATGAGCTAGTAATAAATATTTGGTCAAATTATACCAGCAATCTTGCATTTTGTCACTAATTGACTTAATTTTAACTTTTAATTTTAAATTTTGTGACAATTTGATTCGATTGATTTTGTTAGGATTTTTTTTTTAAATTGATCATAGAGTTGATTGAGATTATCGTGAGGTAAAGTAAAAAAATATATGATTGTGGTTTGTCACTTAACTGAATAAAGAAAATAAATAATTATGATTTTTCATCATTATGCTTAGATAAATAAAATAAAATAAAACGTAATTTCTCACCTATCTTATTTGGATAGAGTAGTAAGAGAAAAAATTGGAAAGTGTTATACTTCATTTTACTAAAAGGAAAATGAGTGGGAGTTCTAATTAAAGCTATCAGTAATGATGTGGCAGTGGGTCCCACTCACTGCCACAGTGTGGGACCCACTGCCACAGTGTGTGTTGTGTCTTTTTTTTTCTTTTTCTTTTTTGTCCTTTTCCACTTCATTAGTGGTCGATTAGAGCCACCAGATTAGTGGTCTCTATCATGACTATTACTAAAATAACATCCCATATTAATAAGTTATATTTTTTCATAAAGGTAATTTTTGTATTTTAGAAAACTTTCATTAAATCCAATTCCTTTCTCACTCCCATCACTTTTAGTGAGAAATAAAATACAGATTTGATGAGAATCCTTTTCTCACAATCTCTCATTATTTCTCACCTACTTAATCATCCAAACAAGTAAAGAGTTTTTCATTCTCACCATTTATTTTTTATTTTTTTATTTTTTACCAAATCTCTCCATACAAATGGAGTGTAAGTCATTAATTGATCAAGTTTATAATTTTTTATTAGAAGCATGATAGATGTTGTTTATGTGCATATTTGTCATAAAAAAATACTAACAATTGAAATCAATTGAATAAAGTTAAGACAAAATAAAAAATTAAAAAAAATTTCATGATCAAAATCAAACTAATTGAAATTATAGGACCAAAACACAAGGGTTAAAAGTATAAGAACTAATGGTATAATTTGCCTTAACTATTTATTTGATCGTTGAAATAAATAAGTATATAGCGGTTGGACAATTCAAATAAGTAAAAATAAAAAATTTATTATATATTATGGGTTATTTAATTGGTAAGAATTTTTTTTAATAAATTAAAATTTGAGTTCCACTCTTCCTATCTGTCTATTTATTTTATTTTTTTGTAAGTAAAAAAATGAGAGACATGTGGCATAAAGAAAAATAAGCAAATACTAAACTAAGTTTAGCTTTCACTTAATATAATAGTATAGATATATTTAATTACAAAAAGGCTAAATTAGAGCATCTTCAATGGTAGTAGGCATTTTACCTATCTAAATATTACTGTAAAGTATATATTTTATTTTGCCTGTCAACGATTTCATGTTTCTACCCCAACCATGCTCTTTATTTTAGCTATTCATCCAAATACTATTAACTTTATAGAATGCCACGTCAGCAACAAAGATGGAGGGAAATAATCTTAATGATTAAATACATTTTGCCTAGCCTTGAAGGCTAGCTACATGTAGCTAGTGAATGTGAGTTGAGCCAAAATGCCTAAGCATATGCCTAATGCATTGGAGTTGAAAAAAGTGAGTCACATTAGGCATTTTGACTAACAAGCATCATATGCCTAGTAGGTTGGAGATACTCTTACACTTTGTCTTTGTTGACGATCGGCCGTTTTCCTACTCTTTATATTTTAAGTTTTTTTTAATTTACTTCAAAAGTTAATTTATGTCTAAAATTAGAGAAAAAATGGCACATTGACTGTTACATGACATATAAATATTTTATTACTTATAATGCATACATTTAATACAAACTTAAACTCTGATATAATAAGATATTTTTATGTCATGTGACAATTAACGTAGCATTTTTATATAATTTTGAAAAACAAAATTAAGTAAATTGAGAAAAAATTGAAACATGAAAAATCAAAGTGAGAAAAAAATTATAAGGTCAAAAAAAAAAAAAAAAACAAACATAAAAGGAGGAAAGTATAATTTACCTTTGAAAAATATATTACCCCTTCCCCTTCTAAAATTTGTTCACTATGCAATTAAAAATAAATTAGAGTGAATAATAATAAATAAGTTAATATTATAATTTTAACATAAACACATTGTCCTCCTTTAAAATATGAATTTCACAATATTTTGGTTTATATGCTTACTATTCATTAATCAAACTAATATTAAATTATAACTCATAATTTTTAGACTAAAATGTCTATTTTATATCTTTACGTACTCATATTTTATGTTTAAATTATCATCATTTTACATTAGTGCATATCTTGATACTTTTATTTCGTCTGATGGTAAGATATTGTTTTCTTTTATTAATTATGTAAAAATTATATTACAAGTAAAAAAATTAATTATAAATATTCATGTAAAAAAAAGTTATTAAAATAGTGATAAAAATTAATAACACTTCACATAACTTTATAATATCATTAATAATATCATTAAAGTTGCTATTATTTTAAGGGAGGCCAATAATTTTTTCTTTAAAAGTGTATTTTTTTTGTCTTTTTATTTTTTAGTCATATCACCTCTCTAATTTTTTACATATTTTTTTATAAAAATTTAAAAATATACTTATTTAAATCAATACAAACACCATCGTCAATATAACTTAACTTTTGTTAAATGAGAAATGACAAATATATATATATATATATATAGAAAACGATCATAGGACGATGATTTTGGCAATAAAACCCACAAGACTACAAATTACTTCGCCTTTTTTTATTACTTCGCCTTTTTTTAAAAAATTTTAATTTTGTTAATTAATAAAAAAAATAGATTGGCCTTAATTAACAAGTTTAAAATAAGTTTTATTTGGTAACCTCTTAGGGGCTATTTGGGAAGTGGGATTTTAGCTTAATTTAGGCTAAAATTTACAAAAAGACAGAATATGTTAAAATAATTAATAAAATAAAATATCACATCAAATCCATAATCATTTAACTTTTTCTCTCACAAATATCATATCCAATTATAAAAAAATCCAATCACCTTTCCAAACACAAAAATTTTAACCTACTAAAATAGTCAAAAACTAAAATAACTACTAAAATAGCAACTTCCTAAACACCCACTTATTAACTGATTTATTGATTAAAAAACTTTTAGTCATTTACGTATACCAATTTCTTGTTAACAAATATAGTCTAGATGTAAATAAGATAATTTATTGGTTTATTTAAGTCATATCATCTCTCTATTTTTTTTATAAATAATGCTTGGGACCCCCTTTTAGGGGTCACCCCCTCACCCCGCTTTGCCACGTGGCGGGTGGTGATTGGAGGAGCAGGAAAAAAAAGAAAAAGAAAAGGTAACCAATGAGAGAGAGAGGGGGTCAAAGGGGTGAGGGAAAAGGGGGAATGAATCATTATTTTTTTTTATACGTTTGTCCATAATAAATAAAAAAAATAAACTAACTTATAAATCATATCCAAAACAATCCTAGAACTTCATTAAAAAAGCAAAAAGAAAGAAACTCTTCAATCACTTCTTTTGAATTTGTTACTAACCTTTTAGGTAGTGTTTGGTAACGTTTATATTTTTTATTTATGTTTACAAAAATTTTATAAACTGGTTTTCGTTTATTTTTAGAAAAACATAAATTATAAACGCAATTGGTTTGAACAAAATGTTTAAAAAATTTAAAAAACATAAACTAAAAAATATATTTTTCAGGCCTAAAATATTTATATTTATATTTATTTTTATTATTTATGACAATGGGATCACACACATTATAATTGAAAAAAATTAATTGGAAAAAAGATTAATTGAAAAAAAATTATTTGAAAAAAATTTAATTAAAAAAAATAATTGAAAAAATAATTAATTGAAAAAATAATTGAAAAAAATTATTTGAAAAAAAATATTTGAAAAAAAAATTATTTGAAAAAAAAATATTGAAAACTGAAAATGTAAACTCATTTTTTGAGTTTACGTTTTTTCCTCAAATTTATAAACTGAGACAACCATTTATAAACCAAAAAAATTATCAAACAAATTTTTATGACAATTTTTAAAATTTTTGTAAATATAAATTGAAAACGGAATGGTTATAGATCCACTATTAGCATTTTTATTAGCTTATTTTAGACAATTTTTTAACTAATTTTCAAAGGAAGGCTTTTGAGAAGTTAGTTAAAAGTTGATTATTTAATTTTTTTGTCTTTTAATGGGTAAAAAATTATAAGAGGTGATGTGAAAAGTCAAAATTGACTTTTAACTAACTTCCCAAATGAGTATATCATATATATATATATATATATACATAATGAGGTGTTATAAAAAATATATAACTATTTTGAATTTTCTTAACTAAGGTCATGTTTGGCAATTTTTAAACAAACAACTTTTTAGCTATAAAATGTCAAATGTCAAAAGTCTATTTAGTTTAACTATAAATAAAAATAAATAAATAAATAAACATATTCATTAAAAGTAATTTTCTCAGAATGTCAATTGAATTGTTAAAAAACGATTTTGGTGTCGTTTGGGAATAGCTCATTTGGGCTCTTTTGACTCTTTGAGCCACAAAAGACAGAATAAGCTATTTGAACCACAACAGACAAAACATCACATTCAATCCATAATCATTACACTCTTCTCTAAAAAAAAAAAGTCAAAAAAGC